GGGGCCCGGCCGACGGCGCGGCACCGGGCGGCTGCTTGTTCCGAAGCGCGGGCAGGGGTTCGCTCCGGTGCCGAACCTGAAGCTGCCCCTTCCAAGAGCCAGCGTACGTGTGGACGTTGCTGGGCAGAAGGGCTCCAGGGCTTTGGCTCCGCTGGGAAAACCGGGGAAAAATTGCAGTGGGAACACTGTTAAACATCTGGCTGTTCGCTTCGTCCTGTAGTGAAGGTACTTGAAATTCTCTCCTTAGCTTCTTTGAAGACCTGGAGAAGCGACACCAGGAAAACCTCGTCATTCCCGACATCAGTGACATCGTGGAAGAGCACGCCTCGAAGCACTTCAACCCCTACGTCAGCTACTGCTCCAACGAGGTCTACCAGCAGAGGACACTTCAGAAGCTGCTGTGAGTCCTGCCGGGCACTCAGCCGGGGGGAGGGGTCCCTGGGCTTCAGGGATGCTGGCCGGCTGCGGGCAGGGCAGATGGAGCATGGCTCCCGCACCCTGGGCTCGTGTCCTGTTCCTGAAGGATGGCTGTCTCCTTCCGGAGCAGACTGCAGCTTCCAGACCTCGGTGTGTCTGTGGGGGATGGTTAGAATCATAGAATCATAGGTGGGAGAAGACCTCTAAGATCATCAAGCCCAAGCGTCACCCCAACACCCCCATGCCTGCTAAACCATGTCCCCAGGTGCCACGTTCACATGGTTTCTGAACCCCTCCAGGGATGGGGACTCCCCCACCGCCCTGGGCAGCCTGGTCCAAGGCCTGACCACACTTTCAGTAACGATGTTTTTTTCTAATATCCAATCTGAACCTCCCCTGGTGCAACCTGGGTCCATTGCCTCTTGGAAATGTTAGGACGTGCTCCGTGTTGTGCTGCGGGAAGGGTGAAGGACGGGGGTAGGTGGGGGTACTGGTGCCACGTGCTGCAGCCAGATGGGTCTTGCCAAGGTCAGCGACACGTACGGGGTGTGGTGGGGACACCTACGGAGGCTGTTCGGACCGCGCTGGTGGTGCAGGTCAAGTTTGTGTCCGCTGCTGGTACATCTGTGGCTTTACCTGCCTGTTGGTGGCCTCAGCATCTCTAGGGGATTGTCCATCTCCTGCTAATGGATCCGCCCGCTTTCCGTGCTCTGAGCTCGGCAGACTGCCGCTGAGCACCAGGGCAGTGCCGTCGCTGCGTTTCTCGTGCACGGGAAGCGCTGGAGAATCCTGAGGACTGAAGAACGGAGCTCATGCAGCTTTCTTGTCCCGTTCCAGAAACACAAACTCCTCGTTTAAAGAGACCTTGAAACAAATTGAAAGGAAACCGGAATGTGGAGGCCTGCCGATGATTTCATTTCTCATCCTCCCCATGCAGAGAGTAACGCGGCTTCCTCTGCTGCTAGATGTAAGTCACGGGGTGGCATTGCTTGGCACCTCCAGGGAGGTGACGGGGTTACGTCCTGCTTCGGTGTGCTGAGCCCGGGCCAGCCTTCTGCTTGGACTTCCCTCCCTGCAGGAGCCGAGGCCGGGATGCCCGAGCCTGAACTCGGGATTTAGCTCCAGAGCTTCTTGTGGGTGCCAGATGTGCAGCTTCAAGCTGCGTGAATCCGGCTCCGCGTCTCGGCGCCGTCCACCTGAGCGACCTGCGCTTCTCCTGCGCCCCGTGCCGCGTCTCCATGCCCAGGGTGGGGTGGCACGGGCGTCCTGGTTCATCAGTGGTCAGGTGACCCGGGAAGGGAAAGCAGGTCTTGCACCAAGCTTCCTCGAAACCCGTGGCTTCTGGACCCAGCTGCTCCACCAGCCAAGCCGCTGGACGCGCTGGGCGCGGGGCTCCGGGGGACTGCTCCCGGTCTGTGACGGGCTGCGGGAGCGCGGGCCGGGGGCTGCCCGCTGCGTGGGCTGGCAGGGATGCTCAGGCACCTGCTG